AAGTATATATGTATCGTATTGATCCATAAATAATTCTACCATTCATAATTTTCCACACGATACAACAGAAAAACTGATAGTTCACATTTGTTTATTTACTCAGTACATGATATAATACAGAGAAAAGCTTAAAATATCAACTCGAGATATTTGCTTTAATATTGAGCAGGTCATCCTTATTGAGTTTGGCTACGCCAGTTTAATAGTATTCACCATTTTAAACAGAATGTTATTATTCTTGCCATTAGTGATACTAAACACCATGACAACTTATTGCATTGATGTGGTGGATATTATTCCTTGCATTTTTGCTCATTACTCTTCATCTGCGATACTGACCATTGCATGAAATAACACAAATTTGTACTGAGTAAAATATTTCAGTTAAAATACGACACGTGCACTATATATCGCTTTCTATAAAATGTGTTTTAGTCAATGCTATCAACGTTTATCATCAAGATACTCAAGATGATTAACAAGTGTAGTTATTTGGAAATTGAAATATCGCCACTTTAACATAATGTATTCATTTAGTTTAGTTACTAGGCTGAAAGAAATTACCAAGCCTCGGTAACACTATTTCTACCACACTAACAAATGGTACTCATTCACTTAATATTGTTTGCTTGAATCTTCCCATTGATGTTTACGACTGCAACTGGTCAGTCTCTAATTGGCATATGTGCATACTGTGCGTATTGCCTCGATATAGCCTTAATTCACAAGCATGGTAAGCAAAGATAGATAGTGGCTAGCAGTGGAATCCAGGAAGCGCGTTATTTCGTCCTATTTGTGACTCGTCAGTTGGATGTACCTGCATCTCAGAGTTGATGTTCACTCTGGGACTCGAACCCAGTACTTTTCGCTCCAAACGTCACCTCGTTATCCACTCAACTACTGAGTCTCGATAGCCATTTGTGAAATAAGGCTATACGCACAGTATGCACATATGCCAATTAGAGACTGACCAGTTGCAGTCCTAAACATCAATGGGAAGATTCAAACAAACAATACTAAGTGAATTTAAACTTCACCCCATTGCACAAGCAAGTGGATATCCGGACACAGTAGCTGAGTAGATAACGCGATGGCGTTTGAAGCGAAAAGTACTGGGTTCGAGTCTCAGAGTGAACATCAACTCTGAGATGCAGGTATATCCAACTGACGAGTCACAAATAGGACAAAGTGACGCGCTTCCTGCATTCCACTGCTAGCCACTATCCATCTTTGCTTACAAATGGTTTTCATGTTCTGTAGCTCAACAAATGAGTCTTTACTAGTGTGAACTATATATAAATATATACTAATAGTATCTCTAATTCCTTTATGTTTTTTATATGATTTATATAATGGAATGTTATTTCTGAACATGAATTTTATTGTTTTAATATTATTATAATAAAATAAAATACAACAGGTTTATAGTATGATTTGTAACACTGAATTCATTGATTTTCTTAAATTACATTATCAAAGTAACTAACACTTCTATATATTCAATATACATGAAAAGTCATATGATTTTGTCAATATATTGATTAATATGATTTATCAAGGGAATCTCACCATACCAACATGATTTATTTCATAAAATGTAATTTAAGGAATGTGAGAGTAAATACAAATTGATAGAAAATCTATTTATGTATACAGTCATGGATACAATATTCATCTTAATGATTCTTGTGCTGTATATAAAGCACAATAGAGAAAAAATTATATAAATTCAATTAATAGATTATTAGTATTATCAAAGAGGGGGTTTTGTGAAGATTTAGTATTTTCATAGTTGAATTGGTTGAAGTTAGACTTAAACATCATCGGATGTCGGCCAAATGGTCTATCGGTTAAGTGCTATGGCGCGAGACTGGTAGGTCCTGGGTTCGAATCTCACAAGGCGAGGTCGTGGATGCACACTGTTGAGAAGTCCCACAATAGGGTGAAACGGCCGTCCAGTGCTTCCAAGTTTTCCATGGTGGTCTAGCTTCAATTGACTCACACTTTCAACTATGAAGATTATTAGTAATCATTAACAAGTTCATAATCACATAGATACTTGCTATAAATATATGTTCATTGTAACGTAATCTGACTATGTCAGTATAAAGTTCATTTTAATCATGTTTTAGCAAACAAATCCGGTGGAGTGATAAAAAGACAAACTATTTCTCTTCATTACTCTGTTATTTTGTGGTTTATAATGGTTAGGTGAATTAAAAATGACCTTAAATGTTAGTTAAGACATTCAGCTTACTAGATACTATTAGTAATCATAACACTTGTTGAATCACGGAGATTAATGAAATTTGTTAGATAATTCTAACAAATAGAATGCAGATACATTTAACTGACGATTTCGAAATAGGATAATACGCTCACTAAGGATTTTCTAAATAATCACATACCAAATATACTGAAGCTTGTGATATAACTCCATATATCAAGATAATCCTCTCAAGAAGCAACAGAGACTCACCAATTGGAATCCTAGTTATTGATAACGAGGAATTGTAAACCCTGACTAATAAATTTATACGAGATGAACAGGTTGACGAGACTACTGAATCAGTAGGTCGGTGGATGATCCATCGACCTTTAAATCTAAAAGTACTAGGTTTGATTTTCAGTGCGAAGATCGATAATGTGATGGAAGCATGTGAGACCTAAACAGGATGAAACGAGCACCCTTGACTCCATTGCTAACTACGTACTTAAATTTACTAAATGAATTATGGTCGTGTAATAATTGATCTAAGTGTATATCACTACAATACGAAGACATAAAGGCGATATGTTTGTCCATTTTGGTTTCTGTCACTATCCTGTTTGTTGAAACTGCTTTTTTCGTTGTTATCATTGTTTAGTAACTTGGCAGTTTATTGTTACAATAAGCTAGATTTGAGACTCAGCCTACTAGGCTACATTTTTACTTGAAATCGAGCTCTGTATAGCAGTAACACAAGATTAGTTCAATATCAAAAGATCTAGGAGAATTACTAAGGAGCTTTCAATTAGAAGAAAGAAAAAACACTTTTTTAAAATTACCCATAGATATTCCCTGTAGGTTACTGAAAGGTACGGTCTATTGGAACAACTGTGGTTATATCTAAAAAACTTTGAATACATTTTAAGGAAAGTATCAACAAACATAGGATGGAATAAATCCACTTAGTATTGTTTGTTTGAATTTTCCACTCAGTAGCTGAGTGTATAACGCGATGGTGTTTGAAGCGAAAGGTACTGGGTTCGAGTCCCAAAGCGAACATCAACTCTGAGATGCAATTAAATCCAGCTGACGAAACTCAAATAGGACGAAACGCGCGTCAAACTGGATTCCACTATCCATCTTTGCTTACATAGGATGGAATAGTTTTAGATGCTTATAATTAGGTGCAATTCGAAAAAAATGTTTTGTACGTAATTAAAGCACGATGAGGCACCAACCAGTAGATGTGTTAATTTGTTGATTTAAAATGTTTAATGCAAATTTGGTTTTCTGATTAAGTTATTAATATTAAAGAAAATATTTAGTTATCATTATGGTTTACACATAGTTCCAATAGGACATACATAGTTACTTTTATTCTTCCTCTTAATGCTGAACATCTGATAATTGTATACTTTGGGGTTGACTTAAATCATGAACTGGTATTGTAGCAGCCTCTTATCATATACCTTTAAACTCTTGTCAACTAAACACATTTCAGTCCTATTTGTTTGTTTCACTGATTATTTAAGAATTTTCTCTAAACTTCGTTCAAGCTTTGTACCTAACACACCAGTTTCGAATTCATTCTACTACAGTTCGTATTTGGTCATTTGGTATCCTATTGGTAACACTGGGTGGTTTAGCAACGTAACTGTCTTAAGAAAATATTCAAAATTCGTTGGGAATATGTACATTGGGAATCAGATTTTGCAATGGATAATATTTTATCAAAGCATCAATTAAACAATCGTTGAAAGCTTAGAAGTACTAAGTAGCTGTTCGCTATTAGCTTGTGCATTGATAAGCAAATCAATTAAGTTAATACATAGTCATCTCCCGCTTACAGACTTTTCTTAGAACGAAATCAGTTAAGATAGTTTATCTTCAAAACCAAGACAAGTTGAACGTGTATTAAGAGCAGAAGAGTATCAAGCAGTTTTGTTGTATTGAGTAACAACTCAGAAGTGGGCACCCACGACTCCTTATGGGTCAGACCTCATGTTGTATGTATAATTATCTAACTACAGAGTTGGCATCCAGTAGACCAATAATAGAAAGAATGCCTAGTGTTTTCTTGCTTTACATCAGGTATGCTCAGTTATAATATACAGAAATGGCTTTCTAGGATTTTGATAATCTTAATCTAAATATCGTTTGTTCCAAATAGGTTTAAATGTACTTCTGCTGTTAATTATACTTGTATATTTGTATAGAAAAAAATGAACTTGATTTTTCGAAATCGGTTCATTTACATTAGTGACACAAACACCATTTGTTTCACTGGTATTCATCATAGACCAGTGTTGACCTAAAAATATCTTAAGTCACCTCCATGTACGTTTGTTTGCGACTGGTAATTCAGTTTTATTTGATTCTTCAGTATAACTTGATATATCTTACTTCTTGAAGCGGCCTGCTTAAACATCTGGGCTACCTGTTTCCCGTCATCTATATATTTCAACAAGTTATCTAATATTGTTTGTTTTAATACATCATTATGGCTATTAAGCACACAACCTATTCCGGTGCGTTTCTGAAAACTGTACAACCTTTCGCTGTAAAAGTTAGAAAAGGTCTAATCAGAGATGTCGTGTTTGCTGGGAACATGCAGCAAAAAAGGATATACATTATTCATATGTCGATTGACTGAACTTCTGACATCCAACTGGCGATCACTGAATGTTTATCATCAGGAGCAACGAAGAAATAAGAAACGTAAATATGTTGAAATACTTTATGCTGAGAATTCGATTTTGTACCAAATAATATAATATTGAATCAAGCTAATAATAATAATAATAATAATAATACTGAGATTCAATCTAGTAATTAGATTCTTTTTTGAATTAGTCTTGAAGAAAAACCTATATACAACGAAAGGTCGGCTGTGGCTATATTAGGTTGTCGACTACACTAGTTATTGATATTGAGGTTATTATTTACGTCTGACTGAATTATTTAAAGATTGAATGTATTTTTCATTGATGTGTAAAACTAAGAGGAAACGTAGACCCAATACTTGTAAATCAACATACAGACTTCCAACAAATAGCGTGTCAACTTTTTTGAAGATATAATGAAAAAATTAAGGATTTGCTTTCCGAATTCATCAATATTTATTCAAAGTGACAAAGTATAAAGCAAGTTATTAGTCGCTTATTATTCAGAATCAGAATTTGGTAAATATTTAGAGTTGACTATAGTAAAATAGTGTTATAGCTAGCACTTTCAAATGTATATAGCCTTTGTAGAAGAAATATTTTGACACTTTTTATACAGCAGAAAATTCATTCAGTAGCCTTCTTTTATTCATATTCAATCTGTGAGAAAATCGGACTTTAAAATTGTAACTGTGATTCAATCTACTTCGAAATCGTAAACAAAATAAAGGGAGTTTGTTGTGTATTGACTGAATTTTCTTGGTTACGTTTCTCACAAGTTGATCTCTGCTAAAGTATCATTGGGAGCCAAGAATCATTGGACAGTTGCTTCGTCCTAGTACGCGACTACTTGACAATGAACATTTACGACTTCAACACAAATCGAATTCAGGAGATTCAACTCTCTCAATGAATGTTTAACCAGTAGAACCACTAAGTCAGAATTCAATACCGAAATATCAACTCCAACCATTTCGCGATAGAATATGATAGTCATCCAGTGATAATGATGACAACTTCTTGACTATCGACGTATCTGAACTCCACCAATCATTACTTCTCACCAGAACTTTAAGAACTTCTTGAAGTAAGTCACTGGTGATCTGAGTATTACAGTTTAGTAGAGGTGGTATTGTGGAGAATGATATGAATTTGTAGGTTGTATTCGTCACACATCGTATTTCAGCAAAAGACACTGTGCGTATGTCTATTTTTACCAATTGAGCATTGTGAATACCGTTGATTGGAATTTGATCACCTGCTGTGTAGACAATATGAATGTTTCCTTTGATCTGATCGCTTCAATTTTAATATCTAATTGTAATTATTAGTGTTTGCCTTGTTAAAATTTTCTCTTGACATATCACTGAACCTTCCTTGATTTAATTGAGGTGGAAAATTATTAAGCACGTCCAATTAGTGACCTTATTATAATAAATCTGAAGACTGTACATAAAATAAAATATTCTCTTATATAAAACTATTTATTAGAAATAATATTGTAAGAACTCTTAAACCGCCAACAGAAACTACTTTGATAGTATTAACTAAATCACTATTTAGGAAGACCATTTAAATATTTGTCTTTATTATTTGTTTATTACTACGTGGATGTATTTATTTATGTCTTATTTATGATTCCTATTAGTACTTACTTCATCAAATGGATCGTGAATTCCGGTGTTATTCATATCGACACTAAGAAGCAGATAGTGTTTGTAATTTACTTTTACCTCTGTTCAAAAGTTTGAAAGGAAAAATTGTAGTGAAGTAGAATTATGTTTACGATTACATTACATGTTTAAAATAAACTGATGTAATTCATATATGGCTTGTGAACAAAAGCGGTGTTAGACTCATGGCTTATTCCTTCCTTAAATTTGGCAAACACTCATTCTACTAATGTGAACTCGAGAGTATCAGATTCCGTTAATTGTACGTGTCCTTGATTGCGGAAACCTATATATGAAACAACAACCGTTGATCACCGGCTACCATGGGACTGCATCTCTTCACGATGCTCCACTGCCTTGTGGATCAGACATTCAGGTCAAAGGCTCCGGGTGTGGCCCCCTAAGAAAACCACCTCCTTCAGTCTGGGCATCTGGGCAGTATCTCAGCCCTCACAAAAATCGAATGAGAATTGTGAGGCGCATATTTATCTGGTGCTTCCTTGTACCAATATTTATGTGTTTAAATAAAATAAAAATATATGAAACAAAGGAATTTGCTTTTTTGCATCATGATTATGAATTATTTCGACAATTTGATGATTACTAAATATTCGAAATTTCTCATTTATTGATATCCAGACAAGTTATTGATGATAGCAATCACAAGGTCTCGCTGTTTATACAGCTAACTAAAATTATTCGTTGTACATTAGTTGTATAACAGTAACTGTTTTGACCTACATTATATCTCATGAGTAAGTGGAGATACTCTTCGTAATCGATTGAATTCAGATAATAAACCGGGGGACTATGGAAAAATTAAAGAATGAACTGTAGTGTTTATATGAACCAATGATTCTTTTGTACTTCATGATTGCTTGATTTCGAATTCCAAATACAACACATTCGTTCGTATTCACCTAATACTTGATTAAATTGCGTTGTTTCTGAAATTAATAGTTTATACTACAGTTCAAATACCCTTAAATGTCACATTGACGTCGTGATGGTGCCTGCGATAGAACAGTTGGATGTTCATTTAACTTCTGAAGCTTTTGAGGATTATTTTGAAAGGTTTGAGATATGGAGCATGACCAAGAATGATGTAAAGGGTGATCAAATTATGGCATATTTTCTTACGTTTATCAGTAAAGAAGTCTACAGTTTATTAAAAACTGGCATATCCTGAAAAGTCTATCTTACTCCCCTATACAACTCTCAAAGAACTACTACTAAATCATGTAAAGTGCACCAGTTTTGAATGTCGTGAGAGAGCAAAACTTCATAAGATGATTCGTCAGAATAACCAAAAGGTTAGGGAATTCATCCTTGAATTGCAAAGACAAGCTACCAAATGCAATTTTGGTGATAAACTTCATGTACAGCTGAGAGATCGATTAATTGCAGGAATTAACATACCAGGTGTGGAAAAAGAGCTGTTAACGATGCCGAACTGTTCCTTTCAATATGCTAGAACTGCGTGTATTAACTACGAAGCAGTGAATGAACTTGATATCCAATCGATGAAAATTTCCAATACTTTGCTCAGTCGTTATGATGAAATACAATCTCAGGGTCGATCAAACTTGCGTTCATTTACAAGTTATTCCTATTCTCGTGAAAATATGAAAGGAACTGCAAAGTGAACAACAAAGGTGAGAAAAAGTTTGGTAGATGCTTATCCTGTGGCAAATTTCATTCTCGTAATTCATGTGCATTTCGTAATGCTAAATGTTTTAAATGTGGCGAGATAGGACCTATTCAGTCAATATGCAAAACTACTGTTCATTTTGCTTCAAGTATTATTAAGTCTTGTAATTTAGATCTCAATAATTAGGCTGTTCCTAATGATCATTTATCACCGGTTTATCCACCGGTTCGAAAGGTAATGTTCATATTCAAAAATGATTATATACATCCCTTGGTTCATTTCATAACTTTATTGTGGATACAGGTAGTATAGAGTCCATTATTTCATTCAAGAACTTTAAACCTTTAGATTCTAATGTTGCGGTAAGACTCATTGAGGTTTCAATATTGGGAATTACTAGACACAGATTGCCCATACGCGGATGCTGTGAATTGCTAATAGGAGATGATAATTCTTCATATATACCTTGTGAATTTTTAGTTAGCGAAACAGGACCGTCAATACTGGGTTTAAAAAATCTGAAAAGGCTTAAAGTGGAATCGCCTTAACTAGTTTCTAAAGAAAATTCTAATGCTTTACTTAAAGATTTGATAGCTGCTTGTTCTAAGTGTAGTGGAGGTATGAAAATCTAGCCTATAAAACTTCAAATACAGGGTTATCCAGTCTTTCTTAAAAGACGAATAATTCCTTATGGTCTTCGAGAAACAGTACATAGGACATTGAACGATTTGTGTTGGAAAGGTATAATTGAACCGCTTCAGTCTTCAACATGAGGTACTCCTATTGTTACGCCATTGAAGTCGGATGGCAAGACCTCAAATATATTTGGTGAATATAGAATAACACTGAACTCCCGTTTGTCAAAGCAAACGTGCACAACGATGGAGGCTGAAGATATTCTAAATCGACTTCATGGTTCTAAAGTGTTTTCGAAAGTTGACTTACAAGATGCTTATCTTCAAATCCCTTTAGATTAATCTTTATCTATCTTGACAACAATTCACATTCCTTTTGGTCTGTTCAAATACAACTTCCTTCCATTTGGTCTAAGTTGTTCTCCAGCCATATTTCAGGAAGTTATGAATAAGGTAGTCAGTGATCCTGAAGTTGTTGAAGTTTATCAAGATGATCTAATCGTTCATGGTACTGATAAAGTAGTTCATGACCAGAGACCTATTGCTTTATTGCGTCGTTTAATTGAGAAGAATATTACAGCGAATCCAAATAAGTGTTCATTTTGTGTATCTAGTTTCGAATGTCTTGGATATCTAGTTGATGGTAATGGTTTTAGACCGGATATGAAACGACTAGCTCCACTGACAAATGCGCCGTCTCCAAAAAATCTTACAGAACTACGTTCACTAGTGGGTGCTCTTCAATACTATTCCCGTTTTATTCTTCATTTTTCTTGTCGTACCAACTGTTTATCTGATGTTTTGACATCCAATTCATGCAAATCGGGTGAGGAACAAAAGTTATGCTTGCGAAGTCTGCCAAAGTTTCTTCAAAGTGATGCTGTTATTCGAGCTTACTCACCCAGTGTACATTCTGTACTTATTACTGACTCATCACCTGTGGGTATTGGTGCAGTTTTGGAACAGGAAGGTAGATCAGTTATCTGTGTTTCACGCAAACCTACTGTTACTGAACAAGGTTATTTACAAACTCAGCGAAAAGCATTAGCTGTATTTTGGGCTGTTAAAAGACTTCATAAATATTTATTTCGAAAGAAGTTCACCATTGTTACTGATCAACAAGCTTTAAAGTTCATTTATCATCCTGAAAAATCCTTAGCACGTTCCTCAGCTGCTATGGTTCAACGATGGAGTATTGCTTTGAGTGCCTATGACTATATGGTTCAACGCAGGAGTAACAAACAAATTCAACACGTTGACTACATATCTCGACAATTATTGCAAGACAAACCTGTTAATACTTCACACTGTTCGTTAGTACAACCTTTACTGGTGAGACGTCCAGATCTCATTAGAGAAACTCGTAAATACTTTGGATGTATACTCAGTGCTATACGGAAAGGTTGGAATGCTAATCAGAAACGTAGATTTCTTGTCTATTACTCAAAGTGGGATGAGTTATCTACTACTCCTGATGGTATTTTGTGTCTAAATGATCGTGTTGTTATTCCTCCATCATGATGTAAATCTGTCCTTGAAGATCGTCATAGTGGACATTTAGGTGTTGAGAAAATGAAGTCCTTGACAAGACTCATGTTGGTGGCCAGAGATAAATGCAGATATATATCGTACAGCAAACAATTGTGAAAAATGTCATAAGTTGAAAAGTCAGCCTTCGAAGTGGACTTCATATCCAGCATCGTTTGAGGCTTGGCAGAGAATTCATGCAGACTATTGTGGTTCATTTCTTGGCAAATACTATGCACTTGATTCTTTTTCTAAGTGGCCTGAAGTCTTTTTCACAACTTCATCAAATTTTGACTTCACAATCCAAGCATTAAGGAAGGTGTTCAGTCGAGAAGGGGTTCCTATGATATTAGTGACTGATAATGGCTCTCATTTCGCTGCGGATGCAGTCACTAATTGGTTGAATGGTATAGGGTGCAGAAATCTGTTTACTGCTCCCAGGCACCCTTGTTCTAATGGTAAGGCAGAAAATTTTGTCAGGATATTGAAAACTGCTATTGATTCTATTGCTGCTTCAACATTTAATGAACTGGAGAGGGGAGTAGATACATTTCTACTTCTATATAGAAATGCTAAACACTCTTTGACGAAAGAGACTTCATCAAAGCTATTAAAAGGAAGAATTCTTCGTTCGAATATGAGGTGTTTGGAGTCTGCAGAAGTTATTTATTATCGTGGGAATGATCTTCGACCAGCCACGGGGATTGTGGTGAAGAATGTTGGAAAATCTATGGTGCGGATTCTAGATATCAATGACTTGACTACACATAACCGACATGTTGGTCAAATACAATTCCAGGACCCAGGTGAGTCTGTTCCAATTTCGGTTGTTAATTCTAATACTAACGAGTGCATTCTAGATAATACAGAGTCTACATCCAATACATTGTCGGACAGACACAAGATGAACTTAAGAAGAAGACGAACAATCGATTACAGACAATTACACTCCAATTTGAG